TTTTATTCCTTTGAAGATGTTGTTGATGGTTTCATGTGTCTTCTCTATTTGTTCCTTTTTTCTTATAACAAAGGTGTCATCTACATACTGGATCCATACTTACCTAGCTGGGTAACGAAACGTTTTCAAGAAAACAGCCAAGCTCAGAGAACCCCAAGGACTCCACAGTTCAACTCTGAGCTACACATATTCTCTTCTGTGATAACACTGTAGCTTTTCAAATAGATTACAAAATGCTGATAACCTATTTTAGAACAGTTATTTCCCCCTGCCCCAGAATGTGCAGTATTCAACAAAACTAAATGTTAGAGGGCTGTTGCAGAGTAATTGAATGCAATATTATGTGGCATGCAGCTTTCAGCAATATGCAATAGTGAATTACAAGCGCTGATCCTCAGCATAAAAACTAAGGCATTACAATTACAAGCTTGTCCCTATTTTCATTTGAAAGACATTTCACAAATGCAATTCTGTTTATTATAGTGTAATATACATGAAATGCATTGAGAACTTGGGGAAATGCTATATTATGTGTTATACTCTGTGGTCTTTTAAGTATAAGTTTGAAAATTCAGGTAGCATCATGAAAGCATGTTTAGTTCTGTTTATGCATCCATCTTTCTTGTCATGCTACAGCTCTGTATTTCCAATAAGGCCAACTTCCCCCCTCCCCCCCCCTTTTTTTAACAATTTAACAAGAGGGTAGGGCAACAAGGAAAAGCAGGCTGTAGAATTTCCTATCTGCTGAATTGGGTCTCCAGAACATAATGGCAGATATTTGGGGAGTCTTTCGGTTCTCTACACATTCCTTCTCCAAGTTTTTAAGGATTATTATAAATCTAAGTCTACCTACATACATTCATGTATATCTCTTATGTTTGCAGAAGAAATGCTTTGCTAAAGAGCAAAACTCTCTCCTGTCACCTGAAATTGCTCACTCTTCATGAGTGTTGTAGCTTTGTAAAGCGGCAGCTGCTTGTTCAACAGACAGCACTCAAATTAAGCAGCAAAGCAGACATGCTCTTGAAATTGAAATGAGTTTAGACATGGGATCATTGATGCTGTGGATAAGAGTACAGGAGGCAAGACAAGGCAGAGCCATGTTGGTTTGTGCGTCATCAGGGATGCGGGGGGTCAATCAATATTTGCCAAATGGAGTAGAAAACACTAGGCAGGATGAAATGTGTCTTTAATGCATCACAGAGAGGAAGCAAGTGAAAGATTGCACATTCATATTGCTTAACACACTAGGTGGGCTAATATAAATAAATGGTTCCGTCTGTGCACAATGCTTGATTGCTGAAGAGTACTTCGAGTCTGAGCTTCCCCTGGCAACCAGGACAGTGACTGTAACGGGAAATGAAAATTAACTGGAGAGTAGTACCTCTGGAAAGAAGTACCTACTAGCATATTATGGTCGCTGTTGTCTGTGCTAAGTGTACCATGAATGGCTGGTGGGGGCTTCCAGGTGTACAGTGCTGGACATATGCAGAAGGCTTCATCTGGAAGGGTCCTCAGTCCATGGCTCTCTGCTAGAATAAAGCATAATAATAATAGTCTGATTTTTTATTTTATTTTAATGCAACGTAGATCACTGCAGGACAGTACACCAACCTCCTCTGAGTCTTAGTCATGGCAAACACCCAGAGTTCCTGGTGTGCAGAGTCAACCTAACCAAGGAGCTGTAGAGCAATAGACAATGTAATGAAGAGTCACGAGCCCTTTCTGTCTTAGGTCTTAGCAGTTATAGCTCTCCCAAAGATAACAGGGTTCTGGCTGTTATTGCCCTATAGCCAAGCTTTGCAGTTTCAAGTCCTGAGTTTGCAGGATAGTAATGCCTGAGCTGTAATGGCATAAGACCTAGGAAGGTGCACTTGTCATTTACTAAACATGAGATTCTTAGCATGTTGAATTTTAAGGAGTTGCTATTTTGTAGTCAGAACCAGGCAATCTTCCGTTTGACTTTTTTCATGGAATATGCACAGCATGACCATCATATGCTGTCTGAAGCCTACAAAGGTACATCTAAGCAATTCCATTCTCCTAGAACAGCCTTCTGCAACCTGGTCTTCCCAGCCAGAATGGCTATCTTAGACCAATGAAAAAGGATTTAATAGAACCTGACAAACCTAACTACCTCATCAAGGGCACACACCTTATATGTTTGTATTATATAAAGAGTGGAATAACTGGTCTCAAAACAAGCTTAAAATGTGCTTAGACTATTTTTAACCATTTGATCATGTTGGTTGTTACATAAGTTTCACTATATATAAACTATTCAGTAAATAGTTCCACATATGAAGGAATGATATTTTTAAAGTTCAATTTGTTTTCTGTCTTTCACATTTTAAATAGGGCATGAAAGCATATTTGGATTTTTGTGGTTGGGTACATGAATGAGGTAACTATTGGTGAATTATTCTTGCCATGTTTTGGATTAAAAAGTCCCTGCAAAGGCTAAGTTTGTATATTCTTTAGCAGAAAAACATGGAAGCCTCTAAATAAGAGGAAAAAACATGCACATATTTGGTTCTGGTTTTATAACACTATTCTATTTTCCTATCCAATACATAAAATGAAAAATAAGAATATTATGGGCCTCATTCCAGCACACAATCACCTAGATTTCTTTCTCCAATGCTGAACTGGGAAGTAGTCTTATCTGTAGTTTTATAACTTGAGAAATGTAATATATTAAACTGTTTGATAACATTAGCTGTACAGAATCTCTCATATTAGAAGTGAGTAACCTAATAGGGAGAGCTGGCAAGAATTTAGCAGCAGGGTTTTGCAGGGGCTTTAAACAACATTAAACAACAAGAAGTAGAACTATTCGATCCATGATACCTGAAGTGAAGATGAGCTGACATGACTCTTTAGTCATGAAATGCAGTACTTTTGAATTGTTTCTGTTCCTGCTTAAAAAAACTGACCTGGCGTAAATCTGCAGCAAGTGCAAGCTTTGGTTGAAGAAAATATATAATGATTGGATCAATGAGTGGCTACACTTCAGCTCAGAAGAAAGGATGAAGATTTATTAAACCAAATGAGGATCTGCAGAGGAAGCAACTCTTCAGAAGGAAGACAATCAGAGGAAAAGGCCCAGTGGGCAAGAATAATAATTAGAAAAAAAGACATTTAATATTTTCTATATCTCTGGAACTTAGAAACAGCTTTAGGACCCTCTCAGAAGAAACCAATTCTAAAAATTTAAGGGAATCAAAAGAGACACTGCATAATAGGAGACAGGAGGTGATCCCCAAAGAGCAGAGGGGATGAAGCTACACATTGCCAGAAGACAAAGTCATGATAGTTGGCAATTTATCGCAACCAAGAACAAAAATGGTTGGAGCCATTTACTTTTGAAGTAAGCTGCTTTGAGGACCACGAATAAAGGATGTCTGGCAGAGCAATTTCCAAGACTTATTGAGTCCACAGACCATTATCCCTTCTTGCTAATACATATGGGGACAAATAATGCCTAGAGTAAATACTACTACATCACCAGGGACTGTGAAGATTCAAGAAGGTTAAGTTAAAATCCTGAGTGATCTGGCAGTCTTTTTCACTAGGTACTTATTAATAGGCTTTTATATACTACAGCATTTCAAAGGGACTCCCAATGGTTTGCAAAAATAATATAGAAGTAATACATAGCCAAATATCACCAATCTAAAGTCCATAATTGATGGCAACAGCACTTACAGGTCAAAGGATCTGTAGAATAGTTCCATTTTGACAGCCTTCCTATATACTATCTGGAAATCCGACAAGAGGCAGTTCCAAAGGAGTGGGGTGGCAATAGAAAAACTCTCTTCCTGGCTCCCCCTCCACCAACTAACTTATGAAAGGAACTCTAAACATCCCTACCATGACCGCATGGGCTGCTTCTATTCATCCATTTTTCAAGGCAATGGGACTGCAAGGGAGAGAATTCTTCAGGCCTGGGAAATGCTGCTGGTGAGACAGAGTTGGACAATTAGTTTCTGGGCTGGGATATTCGGATGGTGGCTAGTTGGCACAAAATGAATTGCAGTTCAAAAGGTATGGCAAAAATTTGTTTGGCTAAAGCATGGCAACTTGATCAGAAGTTGCTTTAAACAGAATGTTGTGGAGGTTAAAACAAAATCCTAAAGTAAGGATTTCAGATAAAGACTTGTGTCCTGTAGAAAGAAGAAAATGACCTACTTTAATGGGGCCTATTAAACCACTCAGAAAAAAACACACACACAGACCGAGTAAAACTGTTGGCTTATAAAGTTCATGGCTTTAGTTGTCTCTATACTAATACTTGGAGTATGGGGAATCTACAAGATGAGTTTGAATTCTTAAAACAAAAAGGCAAATATGGGATAATATTTATAACTGAGACCTGGTAAGGTTATTCCCAGGATTGGAATACCAATCAAAGAAATCAAAGAATTTGTTCAAAGAAGCAGAAACGATAGAAAAAGAGGACAAATAAGAAAAGGATCCACCCCTGCTCAGAAATCCTTTTTTAATATAATTTTTAAAATTATTTTTAAATATTTTTATAGCTGTTCAGAAATCCAAGTGGATGAACTTGGGAGGTAGAAGGCAGTAAAGTCTCTAAGATCACACACAGAGATAGCCTGGAACTGTAGAGTAAATGTCAGAAAGGCTAATGTATAGAATAAGCAGAAGTTGGTGGAGGATTCTAAAAGCTTCTCCAGATACATTCAAAGAAAAAGAATCCATTTGTTTTCTGCTCAGTAAAGATGGTAAAATGCTAACAGGTAACCAGAAAGAAAAAAGGTAGAATTACTTAATTTTTTCCTATCTTCAAAAAGCAGAGAAAGTGGCATGTTTCACAAACTCTGTGCTGTGGCATCCTGGGGAGCCACAACAAACTCAGAAAGGTGCCACAGGATTGTAAGCTACTAGCTCAAGGTAGTTCACAGTTTTGGTCTAGGGGTGCTGTGAAAAAATTATTGAGACACTAAGGGCACCGTGAGCCCAAGACAGTTTGGGAACCTCTCCTCTAGGGAACTGTAGACTAACTAGGCTCATTGATACATGAAAAAATGTAGAGCATTCCTTAAAACGACTGATGTTACCTTGGAAACATTGCAGGGATTACTTTAACAGTCAGGATAAATTTGTCTAGAACAAATCTTGACAGATTAAACATCATCTCATTTTTAATTGGACAAGTTTCTGAATAGATTACTGGAATGCTGTAGACATAATATATCTTGATTTCAGCAAATATTTGTTAAACTTTAGGAACCTAGTTAAATTTGGGCTAGATATTACATGAATTAATTGGCTACTTAGCTGACTCAGTACTTGTACTCAGCATGCTCATTAGGATTTTTCATGAAACTAAGAAGAAGTATCAAGCAGGGTGCCACAATGTTCGATCCTGGGCACACTACTTTTTAACTTTTTTATTAATGACTTGGATGAGGAGGTGGAGACAATGCTTATCCATAGTTGAAAGCTGTTGCCTTCCTTCTGTGTATCAAGAAGAAAAAGCAAGGCAATTGTAGATAAAGTCTTGATTAGAAACATCCTAAAGAAGACTTACAGGCTGAACATCAGGCCTCCCTTCCTCACATTTGTTTTATTCATCATCCTGACTAATGAAGAGTTCTGGAAGATTCAAAAGCTTGCAAATAAATTTGTTAGATTGACACATTTTAATAGTGTTTTTTTCTTAATTCTTATTTTTTAAATATAGTTAATATGGCTATAAATTTTGCCTACAGTAATATGAAATATTCTGGTTTCTGGATTTGTGGTTTGATTTGGTTTGGTTTTTGTGACCTGTGAATGTAGATTTCTCAAAAAGAATGAAAGGAATATATGTTTATTTAAACTGGAATCCATTTGTAACCTGTGTTTTTGCACCATTTGTCTATCAATTTTCTTAAACCCCCAACTACACCTCCCACCAGAAAAATCAAGGAAGAAAAGGCAGAATATCTGTACAACATCTTTTGATTAGTAGCAGTGGGCATCTTCCATCTGGAAGCACCCATGGTTTACAGTGAATGAGATTGGCCATTTTTGCCTTCATAAGCCATTTTTAAAATGTACTTAAAGGATAATAGCCCTGTCTGAAGACTATATGAAACAATCAACATGTTTTGTGCATGATTAAACTCCAAACAGAAGCTGAAATATCAAGGCCACAGACATTATTTCTGTAACAGGGTAGGAATGCAAAGGAATCAGAAAACCAAATCATTCAAAAAGAGATAGCAAAATATTGTTTCTGCTTTGTGAAATGAAACTCCTAAATTGCTCCTTTCTTCCCAAACCTTCATCTCAGCACCTGGGATGTCATCTCTTGCTCACACATAAACAGTGGGAACCTGTCAGCTCTACAAGATAGACCAGACTAAGAAACCAATGCCATATAGGTCAGGACTACTTTTAGTGTAACAACTATAGTAACAGAAACTTGCAAGTCTGAATGTGCTTCCCCCTCCCTCACTTTATCTTCCTGTGAACTAGGGAGGGGCTTATCTGAGCTGTTTTCTCAAGTTATTTTCTTGGCCTG